GTGATGAAGGAACGTAGTGTGTAGAGACAAGGGTTGATGTATGTATTCACGGGTGATGAAGTAACGTAGTGTGTAGAGACCAGAGTTGATGTATGTATTCGCGGGTGATGAAGGAGCGTAGTGTGTAGAGACAGAAGTTGATGTATGTATTCGTGGGTGATGAAGGAACGTAGTGTGTAGAGACCAGAGTTGATGTATGTATTCACGGGTGATGAAGGAACGTAGTGTGTAGAGACCAGAGTTGATGTATGTATTCACGGGTGATGAAGGAATGTAGTGTGTAGAGACCAGAGTTGATGTATGAATTCACGGGTGATGAAGGAATGTAGTGTGTAGAGACTAGAGTTGATGTATGTATTCACGGGTGATGAAGAAATGTAGTGTGTAGAGGCCAGAGTTGATGTATGTATTCACAGGTGATGAAGGAACGTAGTGTGTAGAGACCAGAGTTGATGTATGTATTCACATGTGATGAAGGAACGTAGTGTGTAGAGACCAGAGTTGATGTATGTATTCACGGGTGATGAAGGAACGTAGTGTGTAGAGACCAGAGTTGATGTATGTATTCACATGTGATGAAGGAACGTAGTGTGTAGAGACCAGAGTTGATGTATGTATTCACGGGTGATGAAGGAATGTTGTGTGTAGAGACGAGAGTTGATGTATGTATTCACGGGTGATGAAGGATCGTAGTGTGTAGAGACCAGAGTTGATGTATGTATTCACGGGTGATGAAGGAACGTAGTGTGTAGAGACCAGAGTTGATGTATGTATTCACAGGTGATGAAGGAACGTAGTGTGTAGAGACCAGAGTTGATGTATGTATTCACGGGTGATGAAGTAACGTAGTGTGTAGAGACCAGAGTTGATTTATGTATTCAGGGTGATGAAGGAACGTAGTGTGTAGAGACCAGAGTTGATGTATGTATTCACGGGTGATGAAGGAACGTAGTGTGTAGAGACCAGAGTTGATGTATGTATTCACGGGTGATGAAGGAATGTAGTGTGTAGAGGCCAGAGTTGATGTATGTATTCACAGGTGATGAAGGAACGTAGTGTGTAGAGACCAGAGTTGATGTATGTATTCACATGTGATGAAGGAACGTAGTGTGTAGAGACCAGAGTTGATGTATGTATTCACGGGTGATGAAGGAACGTAGTGTGTAGAGACCAGAGTTGATGTATGTATTCACATGTGATGAAGGAACGTAGTGTGTAGAGACCAGAGTTGATGTATGTATTCACGGGTGATGAAGGAATGTTGTGTGTAGAGACCAGAGTTGATGTATGTATTCACGGGTGATGAAGGAACGTAGTGTGTAGAGACCAGAGTTGATGTATGTATTCACAGGTGATGAAGGAACGTAGTGTGTAGAGACCAGAGTTGATGTATGTATTCACGGGTGATGAAGTAACGTAGTGTGTAGAGACCAGAGTTGATTTATGTATTCAGGGTGATGAAGGAACGTAGTGTGTAGAGACCAGAGTTGATGTATGTATTCACGGGTGATGAAGGAGCATAGTGTGTAGAGACAGAAGTTGATGTATGTATTCACGGGTGATGAAGGAACGTAGTGTGTAGAGACCAGAGTTGATGTATGTATTCACGGGTGATGAAGGAACGTAGTGTGTAGAGACCAGAGTTGATTTATGTATTCACGGGTTATGAAGGAACGTAGTGTGTAGAGACCAGAGTTGATGTATGTATTCACATGTGATGAAGGAACGTAGTGTGTAGAGACCAGAGTTGATGTATGTATTCACGGGTGATGAAGGAACGTAGTGTGTAGAGACCAGAGTTGATGTATGTATTCACGGGTGATGAAGGAACGTAGTGTGTAGAGACCAGAGTTGATGTATGTATTCACGGGTGATGAAGGAGCGTAGTGTGTAGAGACCAGAGTTGATGTATGTATTCACGGGTGATGAAGGAACGTAGTGTGTAGAGACCAGAGTTGATGTATGTATTCACGGGTGATGAAGGAACGTAGTGTGTAGAGACCAGAGTTGATGTATGTATTCACGGGTGATGAAGGAACGTAGTGTGTAGAGGCCAGAGTTGATGTATGTATTCACGGGTGATGAAGGAGCGTAGTGTGTAGAGACCAGAGTTGATGTATGTATTCACGGGTGATGAAGGAACGTAGTGTGTAGAGGCCAGAGTTGATGTATGTATTCACGGGTGATGAAGGAACGTAGTGTGTAGAGGCCAGAGTTGATGTATGTATTCACGGGTGATGAAGGAATGTAGTCTGTAGAGACCAGAGTTGATGTATGTATTCACGGGTGATGAAGGAATGTAGTGTGTAGAGACCAGAGTTGATGTATGTATTCACGGGTGATGAAGGAACGTAGTGTGTAGAGACCAGAGTTGATGTATGTATTCACGGGTGATGAAGGAATGTAGTGTGTAGAGGCCAGAGTTGATGTATGTATTCACGGGTGATGAAGGAATGTAGTGTGTAGAGACCAGAGTTGATGTATGTATTCACGGGTGATGAAGGAACGTAGTGTGTAGAGGCCAGAGTTGATGTATGTATTCACGGGTGATGAAGGAATGTAGTCTGTAGAGACCAGAGTTGATGTATGTATTCACGGGTGATGAAGGAACGTAGTGTGTAGAGGCCAGAGTTGATGTATGTATTCACGGGTGATGAAGGAATGTTGTGTGTAGAGACCAGAGTTGATGTATGTATTCACGGGTGATGAAGGAATGTAGTGTGTAGAGACCAGAGTTGATGTATGTATTCACGGGTGATGAAGGAACGTAGTGTGTAGAGACCAGAGTTGATGTATGTATTCGCGGGTTATGAAGGAACGTAGTGTGTAGAGACGAGAGTTGATGTATGTATTCACAGGTGATGAAGGAACGTAGTGTGTAGAGACCAGAGTTGATGTATGTATTCACGGGTGATGAAGGAATGTAGTCTGTAGAGACCAGAGTTGATGTATGTATTCACGGGTGATGAAGGAACGTAGTGTGTAGAGGCCAGAGTTGATGTATGTATTCACGGGTGATGAAGGAATGTTGTGTGTAGAGACCAGAGTTGATGTATGTATTCACGGGTGATGAAGGAACGTAGTGTATAGAGACCAGAGTTGATGTATGTATTCACGGGTGATGAAGGAATGTAGTGTGTAAAGACCAGAGTTGATGTATGTATTCACGGGTGATGAAGGAACGTAGTGTGTAGAGACCAGAGTTGATGTATGTATTCGCGGGTTATGAAGGAACGTAGTGTGTAGAGACGAGAGTTGATGTATGTATTCACGGGTGATGAAGGAACGTAGTGTGTAGAGACCAGAGTTGATGTATGTATTCACGGGTGATGAAGGAATGTAGTGTGTAGAGGCCAGAGTTGATGTATGTATTCACGGGTGATGAAGGAACGTAGTGTGTAGAGACCAGAGTTGATGTATGTATTCACGGGTGATGAAGGAACGTAGTGTGTAGAGGCCAGAGTTGATGTATGTATTCACGGGTGATGAAGGAATGTAGTCTGTAGAGACCAGAGTTGATGTATGTATTCACGGGTGATGAAGGAACGTAGTGTGTAGAGGCCAGAGTTGATGTATGTATTCACGGGTGATGAAGGAATGTTGTGTGTAGAGACCAGAGTTGATGTATGTATTCACGGGTGATGAAAGAACGTAGTGTATAGAGACCAGAGTTGATGTATGTATTCACGGGTGATGAAGGAATGTAGTGTGTAGAGACCAGAGTTGATGTATGTATTCACGGGTGATGAAGGAGCGTAGTGTGTAGAGACCAGAGTTGATGTATGTATTCGCGGGTTATGAAGGAACGTAGTGTGTAGAGACCAGAGTTGATGTATGTATTCACAGGTGATGAAGGAACGTAGTGTGTAGAGACCAGAGTTGATGTATGTATTCACGGGTGATGAAGGAACGTAGTGTGTAGAGGCCAGAGTTGATGTATGTATTCACGGGTGATGAAGGAGCGTAGTGTGTAGAGACCAGAGTTGATGTATGTATTCACGGGTGATGAAGGAATGTAGTCTGTAGAGACCAGAGTTGATGTATGTATTCACGGGTGATGAAGGAACGTAGTGTGTAGAGGCCAGAGTTGATGTATGTATTCACGGGTGATGAAGGAATGTTGTGTGTAGAGACCAGAGTTGATGTATGTATTCACGGGTGATGAAGGAACGTAGTGTATAGAGACCAGAGTTGATGTATGTATTCACGGGTGATGAAGGAATGTAGTGTGTAGAGACCAGAGTTGATGTATGTATTCACGGGTGATGAAGGAACGTAGTGTGTAGAGACCAGAGTTGATGTATGTATTCGCGGGTTATGAAGGAACGTAGTGTGTAGAGACGAGAGTTGATGTATGTATTCACGGGTGATGAAGGAACGTAGTGTGTAGAGACCAGAGTTGATGTATGTATTCACGGGTGATGAAGGAATGTAGTGTGTAGAGGCCAGAGTTGATGTATGTATTCACGGGTGATGAAGGAATGTAGTGTGTAGAGACCAGAGTTGATGTATGTATTCACGGGTGATGAAGGAATGTAGTGTGTAGAGGCCAGAGTTGATGTATGTATTCACGGGTGATGAAGGAACGTAGTGTGTAGAGACCAGAGTTGATGTAAGTATTCACGGGTGATGTAGGAATGTAGTGTGTAGAGACAGAAGTTGATGTATGTATTCACGGGTGATGAAGGAACGTAGTGTGTAGAGACCAGAGTTGATGTATGTATTCACGGGTGATGTAGGAACGTAGTGTGTAGAGACCAGAGTTGATGTATGTATTTACGGGTGATGAAGTAACGTAGTGTGTAGAGACCAGAGTTGATGTATGTATTCACGGGTGATGAAGGAGCGTAGTGTGTAGAGACAAGAGTTGATGTATGTATTCACGGGTGATGAAGGAATGTAGTGTATACGTAACTCACATCAGCCGTATATTCAGTGTGTTATAAAGCAGCCTGACCCCAACTCTGTGAATATAATTACATGTGCTTTCCTGTTGTCAGGACGAACACTGTCATCCTGGTGGACAGCAATGGTCGGTGTGACTACATTGAACGATCCCTTGTGACTCCAGTGAAACAAGAAGATCCACAAACAACCACCAAAACATTTTCTTTCCACATTGACCTGACCTCCATATAACATCCAGCATGTCTTGTAGTTTAAATATGCTACTCAAAAGAAGTTAAAGAACACCCAAATAAGTTATCAAAATCACACAAAAAATAAATCGTGGCCACAGGAACAACACTGATTGGGAAAGATATGTATTTAATCATGACATTTCATTGACGAAAGAAATGCTGGCATACAGCTGACCAGAGCAAATCAATATGAATTGCATGTACCCTATAAATCAAAAGTCACACACTACAGTTCAGGATAATCCTGTTCCTTCAATATCGGGTATGCCCACCCCTGGAAGCAATACAATCCTGACATCTTCTACGCATAGATCGGACAAGCTGCTGCAGTGTTGTCTGTGGAATTGCTTGCCATTCCTGATGAAGAAATCCTAACAGTTGCTGGAGATTAACAGGAGGTGGGTGGTTAGCTTGAACGGCTCTTCCCAAGGCATCCCAAAGATGTTCAATGGGCGCCAGATCTGGCGAATAAGCAGGCCATTGCATAACGGTAATCTGCCTTTGTCTGTGATAGTCAGTGATAATCCGAGCACGATGGGGTCGTGCATTGTCGTCCTGAAGGATAGCACCTTGACCAATCTGACGAAGTGTGGGCAATACCAGGGGTTCAAGAATCTCATCACGATACCTGGCAGCATTCAGATTCCCGACAATATGGTACAGAGGAGTCCTGTGATTCCAACTGAATCCTCCCCATACCATCACTGATCCCCCACCAAAAGCGACACGTTCACGTACTGTGGCATCAGTGAATCTCTCTCCAGTACGACGCCACACCCGTATTCTTCCATCATTGAGCTGCAAACAGAATCGCGACTCGTCTGTAAACAGTACACAAGACCATTGCTGTCTGTTCCAACGCACATGTTGTCGACACCAAGCCAGACGTGCTGTTCTGTGAACTGGACGTAAAGGTGGTGTCACTGCTTGTCGTCGACTTCTCAAGTGCGCAGCTCGTAAACGGTTTCGCACAGTCTGATCACTAACGACAGTGTTATTGACAGCCCTTTACTGTAACCTGAGGTTGTTTGCTGTTGATGTACGCTGCCTGAGTGCTTGGAGAACCAGGTATCGGTCATCACGTTGTGAGGTACACCTTGGCCGTCCAGAACGATGTCGCTCTTGCACTCTGCCAGTGGCAGCAAAACAATGCCAAAGGGTGTGAATGACAGAGGGGGACACCTGCAATCTTCTGCCCACTCCACGTAAAGAAAGGCCATCCTGGAGCCAACCAATAGCTCGTCCTCTATCAACATCAGTCAGATGTCGTCTCTGTGGCATGGTTTTGGAAAGTGTGATAACACGATCATCGTCATCGCCTTCTTAAAGGGAAAGCATGCACATGCACCATGAACATCACCACTTTCATATGCTGAGCATGAACATTGTGTTGGTTGTTGCTAAGGACAGGTGCAGCGTTGTGTTTGGGAGACAATATTCCTGTGTTTTGCTCATGTTTTCAATTCATTTGCATGACTACCAGAAGTGTTTCCAGAAAGTGTCAGGAGGATCAGCAATACCCCAGATGTGGTGCAACATGTTGCCAAACATTAGATGATAGTAATGTTATAACACATAATGCCATGACCAATTTGCTAAATCGTGTATTATATATCTGGTGTTCTTTAACTTCTTTTGAGTAGTATATTTTGCTGACCTAAGTTAGCTCCCCTTAACCAGAATATTATGCAGATAAATTGCGTGTTATCTCACCTACTATTTTCTTCAAAATGTTTGATGCTCAAGTTCAACCAATCTTATTATATGGATCAGAGGTCTGGGGTTTTGAAACCTATTACAATATTGAAAAGGTACACTTAACTGCATGTAAAAGATTTCTAAATGTTTCTAAATCAGCTCCAAATCATATGGTCTATGGCGAATGTGGTAGATACCCGTTATATATTTGTTCATATTTACGTTTACTCAGATACTGGCTCAAAATAACAGAGATGTCGCGGGAACGAATCTCAAGAAAATGCTACGAAATGCTTGTCTATCGTGATAGTGTTGGTTACGTAACCTGGGCATCAAACATTAAGCATTTACTCTTCTCTCACGGATTTGGATATGTTTGGCTAAATCAAAGCGTTGGAGACAAAATGTATTTTCTTAGCTCTTTTAAGCAGGTAGCAATTGATATGTTTACTCAAAACTGGAGGTCGTCACTAGATAACAGTACACGCTACGACGTCTATAATACCTTTAAATATTGTCTAACACCTTAGGTTTACCTGCATACTATAACAGAGAGAAAAATTAGAGACACATTTATTAAACTTAGGCTAGGGTTAAATGATTTGATGTGCAACAGTGGTCGCTTCTCCTCTATTCCTAAGGATATGCGTTTTTGTCCATTCTGCGAAAACCATATTGAAAACGAATTACACTTTTTGTTTATATGTCCAATTTACGACAACCTAAGATTGAAATATATGCCTGATATCACTAAGAACCACTATTCCATGAACAAAATATTATCTTTTAATGGTATCCCTAGTCAAAAATTAACTAAGATATTACAATACATCTATCAAAGTCTACGAGTGCGTAGTAAATTACTTAGTGAATCCAATATGTCCAGAAAAAAATAGTTGTTATTGAAACTTTCGCATTTAGATCAGGAGTATCTACATTTCATTTTTGTCTGTTTGTTTCTACTAGAACTGCATATACATTTAAATTGTCAAATTGTCATGACATGATGAGTATATTACTGATAGATTCTTTTGTAATGAAGGTCGTGCTATGCTATTCCATTCCTTTTGTATTTTATACTACTACTGCCACTGTGGTTATTACCACTGTTATTACAATACCTCTAATACATGTCAAGCATCATATTAGTTATCCAATAATTATATAATGCACTGTACAGCTGTAAATGATATTGTTTATCTGTATGAGTATATGGGCCAATGGCCTTTCATACAATAATGATTGATTGATTGATTGAGTAGTATATTTTGCTGACCTACGTTAGCTCCCCTTAACCAGAATATTATGCAGAGCAATGTCAAATCCCAGATTTTTGCTGGTTTTGTTTTTCGGTTTGTCTTTACCATATCCCAGCTCATGGGTTCAACAAAATGGTAAACATCTAAGACCTGCATAACTTCAGGCTTTCCTCCCACATTAAGCTGACACTGTGATATAAATGGAATATTGTTTTATGTGGCATTGAACCAAACTCACTCACTCATTTTTGTTGGTGAAGAGGTATTGGTGTTGTTGGTGTTGGTTTGTTTGTTATAGTTTCGTTTCATTTCATGTTGTTTAATGCTGCACTCAGCAATACACCAGCTATATGACAGCGGTCTGTAAATAATCGAGTTTGGACCAGACAATCCAGTGATTGATATCATGACCATCGATCCAATTGGGATATGATGACGTGCATCTACCAAGTCAGCGCACCTGATCCCCGATCCCTATAGTCACCTCTTACGACAAGCATGGGTTGCTGAAGACCTATTCTACCCCGGATCTTCTGTTTGTGGTAGTGAGATGGGCATATTTAAAAGCTGTGCCCCAATCCTGTGTCATATTCATGAATCATGTCAATTATTCCATCCCTGTTGTTTTGTTGAATATTTGGGTTGGCTGATAGGTGCATGTTTGCTGATACTTATAAGTGAAAATAAGCCATTCTGGCGATACTGAATATGCATAAAGTAAAGACAATGATTGCAAAGTGCATTTTCAAGAAATATCCATTTTGCTAGCGATAAACATAACGGTTGAGTTTTGATCACACAGTTACAATGCAGGTAAGGATCGGCAGTCTGGTGCCTGCAGGCGGTTTATGTTTTGCAGTGCGTCTGTCTCAAAGTCGGTCAATAGGGCCTTAAATACAAATCTGGAAATGTTTTTTCTTTCAGTTCGTGCTGGTAATGTATGGACGCTGCCATTCGGAGTCTGCTTTCTAAAACGATTCAATTTCTTTTCCGCCTGGAACTTCCTGATTATCTTCGTTTTCAAGATACAGTAAAGAGATATGAGTAGGGTAAAAACCTCCAGTTCAGCACAGACAATGGAATCCTCACACTAAACAATTGATTCCTCACACTAAAACATCCTCAATTCTCCATCCTTAATCCTCAATCCTCACAGTGACAAAACAATCCTCATAGTAAACAATGAAACCCTCGCACTAAACAATACAATCCTCACACTAAAACATCCTCAATCCTCACAGTAAACAATGGAATCCTCACCTTAAAACAATCCTCGATCCGCAATCCTCAATCCTCAATCCTCACACTAAAACATCTTCAGTCCTACATCCTCAATCCTCACAGTGAACAATAAAATCCTCCTAGTTAACAATACAATCCTCAATCTTGAATCCTCAATCTTGAATCCTCATAGGAAACCTATCCTCAACCCTCGATCTTGAATCCTCACAGTAAACAATCAAAATCCTCACAAGCAATAACAATCCTCACAAATCTCAAAGAATAAGTGGAGCATGATAGAACACAAATATCATAGCTACAAAATATAAATATGTTCATTGTGTGTTTGTGAAAAGAATCCTCAATGAACAAGATACACTTCTATCATTATCTTAAGATTAATCAAAATGAAGATTGAATGTATCGTTCACTACACCCCATGATGAGGTACAATATCAATAACAATGCAATGAGGTTAGAATGTGAGGTTCCCCAATGAGCTTCATATGAGAAATATGTGGTGGGTGAGTGTGCAGTTTGTTTGTTTTTTGTCCTGAACATTGCTATGAATCAATTTGAAATCATCCAATCATTATGCTCCACGTTAAGTTTGAATCGCACCAATAGACAACAATATATATTTAGTTATGACAGCTTATATATTCAAGAACTCGATTGAACAGCACATTGAGTTCATCGCTATTGCTACAGACATAAGAGAAAAAACATGTCTGCTCATTAATTCTCTTTCTACACTTGGAAGTTTGTACAGCGAGAGGCGAGAGGCTAACCAGCTACAGGAAAATATTATCCTGAAATCTTCAGACATCTTTCAAAATCGTCAACAGTGCGTGTCAAATGCTAAGACTCTCTTTCAACTGGATGATTCTGATGATACATTCAAAAGAGTTATCACCAAACACACAAGAACATTTCTACCACAGGTTGATGAAGTAG